TTTGGCATTATTTTCAACAGGGATAATTTTGGCAATATATGTCTATTTTACCGAATAATCACTTGTGCTAGATAAGATAACTAAGATCATTCGCAGTTAATAGCAATGTTCTGATGCTTTTGATTATTTGGAAAGCATTGTGGCAATTCCAATTTACATTGCAGAAGCTACTTTTCAGTTAAACATGAACATGTTACTTTATTTATCATAATATCTGAAATAATTTCTTATATTTTCCTGTATGTTCAATATTATCCCTATTTTTTTGCAAAAATATAGAAGTCTATGAACTTGAATCACAAAATTCATTTTGGCTAGCTACGCTCTTAGTAAACTGTGGATCTGCATGTTCTAGGTGATGACTGCTTTTTGTGGTTTTATTTCAAACTTTCACTCTACACTTTAGTTTACTGGGGGTAAAGACCTTAGGTGCGAATTTGTGCATAATTTCAGGCAAAATGTACACATGCAGAGAACCATTAGCTTACGAAAGAATCAGAAGTCCCTAGTGGTTTCAAATTCACAGCAGTTAAGTGCAAGTGATTTGAAGTCAGTAAACATAAACAGCTCGGCCTCGGTCGAACACAATTCTCTGATTTTTTTCCAACAAATTTGTTAACCATGGTCTTAAATGTCAGCCGTACAAGTAAGCAGTTTTTTAATAAACTTCTGACATGAAGTTTGAAGATTACAAGTATCTAAATTAATTATAAAGAGAATAACATTTGAATTTCTTGTTAAAATGAAATATTTCCTTTTTCACTTTTTTTTTCACTTTTTACTTTGATATTTCGTTTAAAAAAGAATGTGTCAGTGGCGTGAATAGCAGAGAATCTTTCAATGTAAACAGGGGGTAATACTCTTTGAAGACATTTTCCGGAAAAAAAAGTTTTATGTGACAGGCATTTCATTATCATATAAAAATCGCACTTTAGTATAAAGTATGTTAAGATGCCTTCTCTTTAGTCTGTGGAAAATTCAGTGCGATAATCTGAATCCCGGCTTTAATTTAATATAGGAAAACTTCTTCAACACTTTTTAAACATCATGTCGTGCAAATATCTGTATCAAATTTATCTGTGCAAAGCGTAAAATACCTTTGCAAAACGGACACCTTACAAAATAATTTTTTGTTTCATCTTTTGTAACCAAAATTAGAAAATTTAAAGTTTTTTAATGAAGAAGAATGACACTATAGTGCGAATCTAGAAAATACATTCCGTAGACCTGTTCTCATCGTCGATAAAGAAATGCAAAATACGACAAAATCAGCGGTAAGTTCCACGGCACTGAACATAAAAATGATTGCAGTACTTGCAAAAAATATATCGTAGCTTAACCATTTATAATATAATTTTAAAATAGTTCAGAATAAATGACCATTTTTCCTGATCATGTATTAAAAGAGGAATAATACTTTATTTCAAATACCGATTTAAGTTTCAAATAATAAAGCTCATCTGTTCTCATCGATTATTAAGAAAAATTAATTCAATAAAATCGGCGCATAAAAGACATAAATAATAACGGAATTGTCGCAGATTGTCGCAAATTGTTGTAAATTATACAAAGGAACCATGAAATTTGCGCATATGAAAAATGTACCCCAATTAGTTTTGAACTCATGGGAACAAGTTTATAGGCATACTAAGGCAGCACTTAAACACGTACGTTGTAATATGGCTGTGCGATCACGTGTTTCAATGTATTTGATACACCTTTTTCGGAATTTGTAGATGCTCATGACAGGTGCTAAAAATACGACCGAAAAATGAAGCCTTAATAGAATTTTCCATTTTCGTGTGAACACTGATTGACTTCTGCTCTCGACTTAAGTTATATTGGTCACTTGTGCGCATTCATAATGATAAAAAAATTCGCAAACAAGAAATGTTGTTGGACTTTTAGCATACTTGAACCAATATGCAGCCTGCAATGAAAATACAACTGCGTCGTATCATATTTTATTTTCAACTGCGTCGTATCATTTCGTATAAATTATTGTTTTCTTGGAAAATAAACATTTCTTTTTAATGAAATCTTAGTACATGATGCAAAATTATATTTTTAGTTTATGGTGAATTCCGAAATAGAATAAGTGATTTGAAGGAATACGATCGATAAAGCAATATGAACTGCGTCGTATCCACAAAATTTCATAACAATTCTGGCTCGCTTCGAGTTGCAAGTTCGCTATAACTTTTGTTATACAAAATAGTTGTACAAACAACATATACCGAACGAAGCGGAAAATAGTGGAGCGTGTTAATACATATATTTGGTTTTCCGTCATTTCCAACAAAAAGAGTTATAAACAAAAACATACTTTTTTCGTTCCAAGATGGCGGCGTTTGTTTACATTTTGTAGGATACGACGCAGTTTTGATTCCCAGCCCTGATTATGTGGTTGCATCATTATATACAGTCAACTTATCAATATATTATGTGAATCTTTCATTATACGATGTGCATCTATTGTTATACGACCGCTGCTTTATATGAAGTGCAAACATCATTATATGGTGTGCTTCTGTCATTATACTGATGGGGTTAAATTTACCGGGTTATATCTCACTATGCACCGTTCGTGGCAACAGCGGGAAAACTCAAAGTAAATTATATCATATAGTGGTAAGCTGACTCTATATAAAGACAATTCTACATAATGTAGTGTTGTTTTGACTCTATATAAGAATGATTCCACATAATATATTCGTAATTGCACATCATATAATGAAAGACTGGCATCATATAAGGACAAATTCACATCATATATTGTTAAGTTGACTCTATATAAGGATGGTTCCACATAATATATTCATTAATGCACATCGTATAATGAAAGACTGACATCATATTTATTGTAATATAAATCCGTGGTTAGACTGATTACAACAGGCATTGTTTTCTTTTGCACCATACTTTTAAAGAAACTTAATTACATATCTACTTACAAATATGTTTTATTTGAAGGAAGACTGTTCACTTTCTCTTTTATTAATAAAATGTTATTTTATTATACTTGAAAGTCGAAATCCAAAATACCAGTTAGATAAATGCATTGGTCTCAATAGATTAGTGAGTTGATTATTTATATATATTTTTTTCGAATTTCTTCAAATGTATAAACCCCACATGTAAATATCTCTCGTCAATCATCGTTTCTGGGGAAGAAAGAAAAGAAAAATAAATGCAGTAATTTCAGGACGAATAATGCGGTGTCCACATTTTACTATTGTTCAAGTTGTACGGTGCACGTGGAAACATGAAAATCATATATACAAAAAACAGGTTATAAAAATGGTGTAACTTGTTCAAACGATCATAATGTACATATCTTTATTGCATTTCGATGAGTCATATGAACTAAACGTACTAGAAAGTTTGACGTTGCGCGGAAAAGTTGTGGTAAACGCCTTATCACCGTGTATTTTGGCAGTAATTTTGATAATTTATTCGTTAGATTACATTAGAAAGTCTACAGCGTATGCACTACGGACTTTTCGTATTCTTCAAGTAAAATTCTGAAAATTATGTATAGAAAAGCTATTACAGTACTTTTCGTAAACATAACGAATTGAACGGGAAAAAAATGAAACGGATTGTAAAATCCATCACGGACTTTAATTGACATAATATAAATCCGTGAATCCATACTTGTCTTTCAGTGTCAGGCATAACGATAAAAACGAATTTAATTCCATTTTTAAATTAATAAAAAAGACTTTTATTACACCACTTCAGTAATTCAGTTAATATCTTTAATGATTTACTTCTTCATATTACTACTTAATTAGGATAAACATTGTTTTCTTTTTAAATTCCGTCGCGCCAAATAAAAATCTCCGTTGCGCAGACAAAATGTCCATTTCGCCGGCACACAATCCTTTACAACATCAACATTGCAGCTATTTGATTATTTGATATACGATTAAGGTTTTTATATCTTTCTTTTTTTTAAACATTGGTGTTAATTAATTTCATATATTAGTACATACGTTGTGCCGATTTTCCAAAATTATCTCCGTTGCGCCATGAAATTTCCATTTCGCCAGGCATATATAATCCTTCAGTGTAAACATATACAATTTATGAAACATTTTAAAACATGCTTACTTTATAGTATAGTGCTAAACAATCATTTTAGATGCTCAATTATAACATATTGACTTTAAAAAAAGGCGTTGTGTCGGTTTGTTCTAAACAATATCTCGCCATGAAATTTCCATTTCGCCAGGCATATAACCCTTCAGTGCAATTAAACATATACAATTTATGAAACATTTTAAAACATACTTACTAAATAGTGCCAAACAATCATTTTAGATGCTTAAATATAGCACATTGACTTTAAAAAAGGCGTTGTGCCGGTTTTTCTAAAAAAATATCTCCGTTGCGCCCGTTGCGTCCGTTGCGCCAAAAAATCTCCGTTGCGTATTTTAGTGGTACCCGTATTACCTTATTTTTCTCCATGGTGCATATATAATGTTCTCACTGGCCTCTCCTGCACCCTCTCGTGCATCAACACATAAATCGACGTACATACATTTTGTAATATTTAGTATTATTCGGTGAATAACTGGATTTCAAAATTTATCTGTTGGTAGATTAATATAACCTTAATGGACACGAATCAAGACATGTCGATCTGGGATCCGTACTCTCAGTGCCGGCAGTGCTTACTCATCGGTAGAAATCTTACTTGAATCAAAGCTACCGTGTGACTCCGATACCTAAATTGTCACGTGGGTTAAATTGGCCACCAAATTCCCCATTTACTTTCAAAAGTCTTAAGTACTTTAAGATATTGCATTTAACTTGATGGTAAAACCGATTTGAAAACCCCAGAAAAGAAATGTTATCTATCAAAAGTATAACTAAACTTAAGCAAAATACATCTTAATCACATGAATTCTCACAGTAAATAATATAATATATTTGTTTAATTTAAGGTGGGGCGAATCGTCCCCACCGCAAAGCGAATCGGTATGGGACGAATCGTTAAAAGGGTGAATTTATTGGTCACATGATCAAAATATGGCGGCGCCCTTAGGTTCGACACTGACAAAAATTGGAACACGGTTTTGTTGTCGGTTTCTTGATTTTAGGACACTAAACAGTGTAAAAGTTACTCAGATCGGAACTAATTTACACAATTATGCATTCAAGAACTATTTTCGTGAAAACATCAGGCAAAGAAAAGTTATTTTTGGAAGATATTTGTGTACTTTACACAGAGACAGAAAGTGTTGGAAATGTGGAACCCCAACCGATGAAGAAAAAGAGCTTTTCTTTTGTAATTGTGGTGTAGTACAGAGTGTTCCGTCAGATCTTACATATTTTAAAGTTATGAACTGTGAAGAGAAATTTGATATAGACATTAAAAGTCTTGCTTCTTTGTACAAAAATTTACAAAGCCGACTTCATCCAGACAAATTTGGTCAATGTTCAAAAGTAAGTATTTTTACTAATAGCCTATGCTGTTATTGAATTGATAACAATCGCCCCATAACAACTGGCACCAATTAAGTTATGATTTGCCCCAGATTAGTGACAATTCGGCCCACTTTAAAACAATAATTTAAAACTAGCTTAAGCCAGGTCTTCAGAGTAACCGTTTATATACTATGACATGACGTGAACGCTGAAGACAACCCCGTAGGGAAAGTCCACCAATAATCGTGCCAGGAATCTGACACGCTGGTATTCATTCATCGGACATGCCATGAAGTAAAGTGAAGCATACCTAGATAAAACTATATATAATCTGTTGATAAGCCAAGGATGGACAAATAAAAATCTTATACAGAACATAAACTACCTAATAGTTTCTGACAGGTAAAAATTTCGGCACTTGGCCGCCATTGTGCCAAAATGTTTGACCACGTGATTACGAGATTGACCTTTACGAACCCATGTGCTTCCAATATTTTTATAAATAACTTTTTTAAAGATACTGAAAAAGGTGATTTACTGACTTAATAATTGTATTCAATAAAATCATATTTAAGTACTAATAAATTAATGAAAATAAATAAAAACATTATCTTGAATAAAAATATCGAAATCATGTCAACAAAGATGTTCTATATAGTACACGACTCTATTCTAATCGGTTCCCGTGAATGACGTCATACGAGGTCTTGCGTGGCACCTAAATGTCATGGCCGACTGTAGTTGGCGTAAATGATGTTTTACTGTTAAATAGGCAATTTTAATGACGGTATTGATATTTTGATACTTTAATCATTTTATTACATTGTTATTCATAGGGTGAGAATAAGCCTCAGAGTCAGACCAGGACTTAATGGGCTGAGTGCCTGTTTCATTGCATTTTTGATAAAACTTTGCAAGAATGACTATTGGGGAAGGCAGTAATTAAAATTGTTTAAATTTGCTGAACAGACAGAACTATAATATTTTTCTCTGTCAGTTGTACTGGCATAAGCAATTTATGCCTTTTGGAAAATGTAAATAAAAATTGTGATGTTTCTTTATCCTAATGCCTGTATTATGTTTAATTTTCAGGAGGAGCAAGCATTAGCAGAATATCAGTCTGCTTTTGTCAACAAGGCGTATAATACACTTCTGAAACCCCTTTCAAGAGGACAGTACTTACTGGAGATACATGGTGACCCAATAGAAGAAGCTAACAGTGCTGTAGATCCGAATTTCCTAATGGAGGTAATGGAGATTAATGAAGACATTTCAGAAGCTGTAGGAAATGATAAAGCTTTAAACCAGCTTGATGATATAAACAATGCAAGAATGGAAAAATGTATTGAAAATGTGTCAAGTGCCTTTGCTGCCAATGATATTCCTAAAGCAAAAGAATTTTTGATTAAATTAAAATATTTTTCTAACATTGACGGAAAAATTAAAGAAATATACAGAAGAAATATGGATCAATAAATCTGAATCTCTGCTTGGTACATGAATATCTAGATCTTACTCTTTTCCAAGCATACAAAATTTTGTTTAGTGCATTTGTTAATTAATTATTCAACTAATTATCAAATTTTGTTTCCTAAATCCATTATACATGTATATTAATGTGGCTTGTAACTTTTAAATTAAATACTCTCCTATCTTCATTGAAATTGAAAAAGAGACTTTTATTTAAAACAGGTAAACAGTTAGCAAGTACATATGTGTGCATTGTATATTTATTAGAATTAATAAAGTGTTACTATGATAATCAAGACTCTGTCACAAAAACATTATTTTACTTTCCAGTCATCTTTAAGTGTCAATTATATGAAATTTCACAATTAACCATCATTGTCAGATGGACTTTCTCCAGCTTCCATTTATGAAACAGTCCATATTTATCATGACAATTTGAACAGATGTGTAGGATGGCAATAGGCTTATCATTTTCCATTCTAGCTACTAGAATAGTAGCATAATTTCTTTCTTTAGTCAACAGTATTATTTTACCTAGTATACTGCAGTTACTTGTATTTGAAACTGCTTTAGAAATTATAAGAAGCATTTTTTCATTCTCAGTCATTGCTACAGTGATTGCTATATTTAAAACTAATAATATTATACTGAAAATATTAGAGAGAAACCAAGTCATACAGGATTGAATTTTGTTATGTAGAGGAACATTGTGTATCATGTTTGTACAAATTATACTACTGAGTCAAAACTGACCAAATTCAGCACTGAATAGTGTAAACCTTTAAGAAAATAATTTTGTTAAGAACCCACTTCACATCATTTTGGTATGTACATGTAGCATAATGTAATAGTTCTATACAAATAATTTCAAATTTTTGCCATGCAGTCAATAAATGGCCACACTCTGGGTTCAAAAGTTTAATTCTTTCATTTGTCCATCAGACACTTCAGGCCAAGACACTACATTTCTATACAAGTAAAATGTTGATACAATGCAGCATTGTCCTCTAACTAGTTTGTTTATCCCCTTCCACGTAGCCAAGAATAGCCAAAGGGGGATTATAAGAATGGCCTCCGTCTGTCAGACTGCCGCTCTCACGGGACATAATGTGGCTAGAGGAACAATAGGTAACTGATGTAATTCATTCCAATAATGCTTTTATGTGGCTCTTTTCTTTTGTGTGGCTAAAAAGAACAATAGAGAAAACAATAGAGTAGCCACATCATTACTGTCACGTTAGAACGTCCGTCCGTCTGTCCGTACGTAACACTTTCGTGTCCGCTCCATAACTTTTACACCGCTGAAAAGTTTTTGAAATAACTTGGCACAAGTGATCACCATAATGAGGCGATGTGCAGAGCACAAGAATTGGGTTGCTACCCCCAAGGTCAAGGTCACACTTAAAGGTCAAATGTTAAAAAGTCTTCATTTCATAATAAAATGTCTACATTTCGTGTCCACTCCATAAATTTTTTAACCGCTGAACATTTTTTAAATAACTTGGCACAAGTGATCACCATAATGAGATGATGTGCATAGGGCAAGAATTGGGTTGCTACCCCCAAGGTCAAGGTCAAACTAAAAGGTCAAACATTAAAAGTCTTCATTTCATAATAAAATCTCTACATTTCGTGTCCACTTAATAACTTTAATTGCTGAACATTTTTGGAAATATTTTGGCACTTGGATCACCATATAGAGACGACATGCAGAGCACAAGAAATAGGTTGCTATCCAAAAGGTCAAGGTCACACTTTAAGGTCAGATGTGAAAAAGTCTACATTTCGTGTCCGCTCCAGAACTTTTTAACCACTGAAATTTTTAAAAAATAACTTGGCACAATTGATCACCATCATACAAACATGTGCAGAGCGCAATAATTGCGTTGCTTCCCCCAAGGTCAAGGTCACACTAAAAGGTCAAATGTATAAAAGTCTATATTTCATGTTCCCTCCATAACTTTTAAATACCCCCAGGGTCAAGGTTATATGTTCTCTATAACTTTTTAACTTTATGGAAGATTTTAGAATAATCACCATTGTGAGACTATGTGCTTATGATATGCAGGGTACAACATCAAGGTCATGGTTGGTAAAAGGTCAAGAAGTACACATTCATGTTCACTGCGGAAGGGGATTTAGCTGTCCTTCAGACTGCCTTGTTAAAATAATTTTATTTGAGTCAAAGTTGACCCCAATTGTTTTATTACCTGACAATGAATAAAGACTGGAACTTGGAAAGAGGGCAGCTACTGTGTCTTGATGACTGATTTTGTATCTTATTGGACTCATCAGATTTATCTTTTTTATTTCCCCCTGAAAGAAAAGGTGGCTAGTCTCTGTCAGTCTGTCCTTGACCAGCCATAAATTCTTCCCATATTTTTGTGTGAAGTATTGTGTATTTGAGATATGACCATGGATTCATAGATCTTATTCTAAAGGAGTGCAGTGCACAAGAAAAATAACTCTTAATAATAAAATCTTTTATAATTTTTTGAGTTATTGCCATTTGTTATTTCTCATGCTTAATTTTTGTGCATGCATAACTAGAAAATTGTTTGAGATATCAACTTAAAACTTTATAGGTGGATATATCTCATTGTTCAAATTGTTGGGAAATGCACAGTACAAGAACAATAACTCTACCATTAATTTCATAATTTTCGTGTAATTGCCTTTTGTAATTTTTCATGATACTGTTTTGTTCAGACAATTCCTCAAAACAGTATTTGAGATATCAACATGAAACTTCATTGGTGGATAGATTTCAATGTGGAGAATGCAGTACATAAGACGGGTTACTCTACCCTTCTTGTTCATAATTTTAGCTCCACTTTTTGAAGTTAAATTGTGGAGCTATTGTCATGACCCTTTGGTTGGCCTTGGCAACCTTGTTGATTACCTTTTTTTTAAGGTCCATTTTCTCAGACACTATAAAAGGTTTTTTATTGTCATGAAATGACATCATTTCAAAAGGGCAGATAAGCTTAAAATTGTCCTTTGCAAAGTTGTTTCGATTTTTCAACTTAGATTTTCAGCCCAGGTTAACCTTTTTGTCTATTTTCTCAGAGACTATTAAAAGATTTTCACCTCAAACTTGAAATACATGACTGTTCCCTCTCAAAATATAAAACCATTTCAGAAGGGCAGATAATCCTAAATTCATTTTTGCAAAGTAATACCCCTTTAGTCGTTTTTGAATTTGAATTTCTTGGTCAACTTTTTGTTAAGGTACATTTTTACATCAAAGGTACTCACTTTAAACTTAGAGAACCAGTTCACTATCAAATTTGAAATGAATTTGTAGGGGTAGATAGTCCTGAAAGTCTCTTTTTTTATTATTCCCCCTTGTTTGACTTAAAATATTTGTCTTTTTCTCAAAAACTGTTGAAGGTATTCACTTCAATGTTGACTGTTATGGGCAGGTAAATCTGATAAGTATGTTTTCAGAGTTATGCCACCGCTATGTTGCTTTTATTTTACTATCCAGCACTGAGAAAAAGTGGAACGCCCTGTCTAGGGACAAGTCTTGTTTTAACTATAGCCCTTTAACTCAAAATATGTGTGAGATATCATTGAGGAATACAAAAGATAACTCTACACTTCATAATTTGAGAGTTATTGCTCACAAAGCAGGACTTATTTAAAAATAGGTTTTTCATCATTTTGGAATGAACATAAGTTATATCATAGATGTCTTCCCTTGTTTTCTGTGTAATATAACCATCATGTATTTCTTTATTTTACACACATGTAATATAACTTTGTCCAAATAAAATTGAAAACAGATTGTTTTGGTTCAATTTGTTATGTGATAAAAAGAATCCCATATTCGTTGCCATTTGATATACATCTTAATGAAACTCCCAGATGCTGGCTAAATAACATTTTCCTGATCTTGTTAAATAATATGAAGATATTATACATTGTCGAGTATAATACTGATTTATATTGGATGAATATGCATCTGTCAAACCTATATTTAACAACCATTTTTTGGTTGACTTTAATTTTTTTTTAGAAAAATATTGTTACAGGCATGCAGCCATTCCCGTTGCCCTACTTGTTTCCTACCACAAACTTTAACCTTGATCATAACTTTTTAAGTTCTCATACTTGGCCACAACAAGACCCTCAAGTAGACCAGAAAAAACTTGACCTTCATTCAAAAAAGACCTTTACCTTCAAGGTTAAATGTCTAAATATTGCTTGTTTTTTGCAGGTCTTTGCTATTAGTGACATAACTTTGTTATTTTTGAATGGATTGTCTTCAAATTTGAACATAATAATCTTTTAGACCTTCAAGTTAACCAGACACACTGTGACCTTTACTCATAAATGACCTTAAGCTTGACCTTGAAGGACAAATTATTGAAATTTTCATATTCTTTGCTGTAACTGACTATAACTTTGTTATTAATGAATGGATTGACTTCATATTAAGACACAACATCTTTTAGAATAAGACCTTCATGTACATCAAACTCAAATTGACCTTGGCTTTTTTATGACATTGACCTTGAAGGTTAAATGATTGAATTTTCACTGATTTTTGCTATATTGGACTGAAGCTTGGTTATTAATAAATGGATTATCTTTATACTTTGACAAAACTATGGAAAGGATTCATACTTGGACAAAACAACAAGTGTAACTAGACAGACCTATAATGTGAAAAAAGGAAAAACTTATCTACTTTCGTCATATTAAACATGTTACTGTGTAAACGTACTCTTGTAGTTCTACAGCTGGAAACGCTTTTCCTTAAACTCCTTTTTTCTGTATTCGAGTTTTACTTTTCAGTTGTATAATCTCAGATACGTGCAAACTTGCAAATGTATTGTATGCAATGGACGATACGAACTTGTAAATGTGCTGTTGTTTTCCATGTTAGGTCAGTTGTTAAAATCTATATGTAAACTTGTTTTACAAACGTTAGTGCCTTTAATCAAAAGATTGGTTTAAGAGGCATATTATTAGCTGTGCACAGAAACAAAATTAATGGTAGGCATACAAGTTTGCATTTTCAAAAGTAATTTTTAAAAGGAACACTTTCCATGTCTGGAATTTTGGCAATGAACGCCCTCCATACATAAATTATTGTGCCAAAGTATGCAGATAATTCATTTAACACTTACAAAGTTATAGCCAATTAAAGCAGAAAATTAAGATAATTTAACCTTCAATGTCAAGGTCATTTACGAGTCAATGACAAATTGGGTTTGATTTATTTTAAGACATTGTCCTTCAGGTAAATGTGCTCAAATATGAAGTCATTCCATTCATAAATAACAAAATTATTACAAATTAATTATAGAAAAAAATCAAGCAAAATTCAAATACAATGGTCAACGTCATTACTGAGTGAAGGTCATAATCAAATTTGTCTTCATGAAGGTCTTGTCCTATGGATTGTTTAATTCAAGATTGAAGACAATCCATTCATAAATAACAACATTGTTTCTTGGGTGAAGGGCTTCCAAAGTTGGTTCAAGAATTTGGTTCCTTGCCATGGCAGCCGAAAGGAAAAATAGGAAAAAATAAAAGGTTTTTCTCTAGAACCAAAGCGCCTGGAGCATCAAGCAATCAAGATTGTTCAAATAATGGCCCTGGGTAATGTGTTTTTCTTATATGTATATACATATACATGTAGTAAAAATTTGAAAACCCTTTTCTTCAAATTTACAATGGCTTAATCTTAGATATTTAGCAAGAAAATTTGTCTAGTGAACCTCTATTGAGGTTTATTCAAGTTATAACTTTGTAATACATTTTTTTTGTATTTTCTGATCGAAGATCAGCAAATACAATGCTGACATTCAATCTCTGACACAGCGGTTAACGACAAACCTAACAACAAGTAGTTTTCAAAACAGCTTAAAGCTAGCGATTTAAAAGAAAGAAATATTTTTATTTTGTTACAAGTATCCAACAAATTACAACGCATTCAAAGTTTAAAAGTAACGTTGGCTTATAGAATTGTCAATAAATGCACAATCACAAATTAAGCGGATGAATATGATTTTAATCAATGAAAATGCTATTTTTAGCGAATATCTTACTGTGTCGGCGAGAAGATTTTCGCTAAATTATTTACATCAATTTTAAACAACAGGTTTATCGTGAACAAAATACCTCCAAATTAATTAATAAGGATTACAAACCCGAAATGCAACTTAGAATTACTTGATTTTATTCAGGCATTGTTCGTATAACTTCACCGTGGTGCAGGGGTAACGCGCTCGAGGACTGGGGTTCAAATCCCAGTCGAGGCAACTATTTTTTTTATATTTTTTAAGTATCTTTGTTAAGGAAGTAGCCACGATATGCAAGGATAAAGTGTGGCTGTCATAAAAAATGAACATAAATGATTGTTTGATGCAACTCTAGTTATGCGAAATTCCGTATGTATCAAACACTGGTGCCCTGCAAGATGAATAATAGTATACATAAAAATAAACTTATACAGGACAATACATACAGATATACATTACGATTTAGATTGCAAAGACCAGACAATACCACTGAGCTTGCAGCTCTTTGATTTATCAAGTAAGAATCCTTTTATATTGAATCAATTATACTTGGGCCTTTGTATCTGAACATTAGACACATCTTCACAGTCTTGAGATGCTGAAATATGACGTTGACCCCTAGACACTACTGCATTATTGCACGATTTATTTGAATAGAAACAAGTACTTGGACACAAGAACCATTTCTACATTCATATAGACATTATGTGTAATTTGTGTATGTATGAGAGACCGGAACGCGATACAGTTAAATGCAATGTCGCAGCTTTGTGTGGAGGGATGCCATGTGAAAATACGACACATTTAACATTTCAAATTTATTGATTTCGCCTGGCACGGCGAAAATAAAAGACTCGACAAATTAATGAGGAAAAGCCCCAAATGTAGCATGTGTACAGATTCATACTGGAACAAAACAACACTTATGAAAACACCGACATTGTCAAAGACTTGGTATTTTCCACCTGCGTTGAATTTAACATCTGTAGCAGTCTTTTTTTTCTTGATATCATGTCGTGTAGTTTTCACGACATGCACAATGTTATTGTTGTTTTATACGTTGTTTTATACGTACGTATGTACATACACACACACACACACACACGCACGCACGCACATACATACATATCTATACCATTAATAGTTATTGAATTATTAAAGAACTGTCTTGAACAATAAGACAATGTTATCGCCAACGGTTTGTCGTGTTTTTTTAATTTTGTTGACAATGCGTATGCATACTCCTCATTTGCATAGTTTCTTCACTAGTGTTATACATGTGTTGTTTTTATTGCACAGCTTTATTTCACTCCTGCTACATGGTTTATGCGATGTAATGAAATATTATACATGTATAATATGAATTTTTAATATTCAAGAACAGTGATGACAATACTTTATTTAGTGAGAAAAAGAGTTTGGCAATTAAGGCCTATACAGAAAATAATATAAATTTCTACATTCAGTATAGCCTAGGGATGAAAATGTAGCTTCATTAATGAAACAACTGTTGTAACTTAAATTCTGAAAACATTGTTTCAAACCATCACCAATGTTGACAGATACCATTAATTTCTTGTTATAGGACCTTTTAATTATAGAAGAAAAAAATGCATTTATGTGAAATACTTGTTAAATGACCATCATCTCTTTTCCTAGGTTAGGAGACGTACGTACCGGTAATTCTGTCTTGTATTTTGACAAAAATACAAATCGCCCCTTTATTGCCAAATGTTTGAATTAAAAAGAAAATCACGTGTTTATTTGAATGGATTTAAAGCAGCACGCTTCCAGATTAAAAGAATCATGCTAATCTTCATGAAAATTTGAAAATTTATCTTAACAGTATAATAATGTAAAGTTACCAAGAGAATGCAATATACACATTATCAATGCCACTAACAACCCATGTAAATAACCATAAAGGTCAAAATATACAGAAATAGCCCTTACTGTGTTAGTAACGCAGTAGAAATATAGATATTTCTAGAGGCGTGCTGCTGTAAATAAATTCAGTTTAAACAGCTGAACGATAAATGATGAAGATATTGATATATTTATTCGATTGAAATATTTGACCATCACTAAACTATATTTTTAAAAAAAAAACAGGAACAGTAATTGCTCAGTAATGTTTATTTGCACGGAAGTTCTGTTGAAAAACAAATAAAATATAATAAATAATGATTCAAATAAAAGAAACAATGCTTACAACTTCTGTTTTCTCAATGAGTTCTAAAATAATATTAGAAAAATTTAAATGGGACTTCCCTTGGGGGGGGGGTGACCCCAACCTTTGGGGGAAAAAAATCCCCCCCTTTTAAAAAATTTTTTAATAAACATGTAGCAAGCCCTTTAAACCCTCCCCCCAATTTCAATACCATTTTTTTTTGGGGGCTCATCATAAACAAGATAACAATGTGAGTGCTGAAATGCAACACCTTGTTATAATTTCTGTCAGCAGCTTGAATGTGTTTCCTGATAAGGTTTTCGGACAAGACTTATAAAGAAACTAGTTTATTTTTGTACTTTGTAAACAATTTCTTACGTGAGCAACGGTTATGTTTTACAAAATGAATCTTGTTTTTGTTTCTTTGTTGATGTTTCTTTATCTGGCATGTAATGGGGAAAATATCAAAACTCAAACACAGGTCCAGTTAGTGTTATATGAGCTTTGAAATCGAATTGTTCTTACCTTTGGTTATTTTAGCTCACCCGAGCACAAAGAGCTCGAGGTGAGCTTTTGTGATCACAATTTCTCCGCCGTCCATCGTTCGTCATTGCGTCCATCCTCGATATTCTGAACTGAAATCACTTGGTCAAATTTTATGAAATTTTCCTGGAATGTGGACCTCTACACAATTTATATAAGTGTTACCAAGTTTGTTCAAATCAGAGCCCCACAAAATATAATAAGAAAAATAATGAAAAAAAATGTTTCCTTAAGATTCGAACCTACAACCTTCAATTTGAAACTAAAAGTATTAACCCCTTATCACTGAGGCTAGTAAGGGATGTGTCAAAAACTTTAATTTATACATAAACCATATTTATGTCGGAATTCGATAATACTTATTACCGACGAAAGGTCATTGAATATTTAAAGGTCAATATATTACATTAAGTACATTAAGTACTTACGATCATATCAAACAGTAATCGCACAATTCTCTTTACTTCACCAATCTATTACAATCTTCTTAGATTTATAACTGAAGACATGAGTTCTTTTCCTAACATATTATCAAAGATAGGCATGTATCTATTTGTAATCTCAATTTTAGTCATTAAGTGTAATTTATCACCTAATATGTGCTGTAAATTATTGATCAGAACAGCAGTGTTTGCATTGTTTATGTACTTACAGTAAGATAAAGGCTGTATCAAACCTCGGTTTTGTTGACTTTAGTTAAATTCTTATCTGTCAAACTTACTTTAAATAAAATCCGTTGTAAAACAAGCAATAAAGTATAGTTTAACTCACATTTTGTTGATGAAATTTTCTTACATATTATCACGAAGAAGTAGTTTATGTTAGATATAATGTATTTATTATTTTTTTGTTATGAGGTATAAACAAGAATCATCTTGATCGTCACTGTATTCGGCTGTCGGAGTTTGTCTTGCTGGTGCATTACTCAGAAGTTTTTGAGATATCGATTAGAAACTTTTCGTAGATAGATGTATGTAGTCAAATTTCGTTGCATAATTTTAGAATTATTTCCCTCTGTAACTTGTGTCTCTTTTTGAGCTAGATTTAATGTCGCACCAACATATATAGTTATATGGTTATATGGCGACTTTGCAAAGGTATCATAGCCAGGACAGTGGCGATTTTTGATACTTCCTGTATCCCTGCGCATTGGGGTCAAAAACTTTTGGTCTCTTAGTAATGTTATGACTGATCAATAGAACCGTTGGTATAGAACTAATTTGTTAATACATGCAATTGTTAATTTTATTAGTTTTGATATTTTAGCTCAAAGCTCAAAATGGCGTAAACGGCCGGAGATATGATGCAGATTTTACATATCCGATATTACACCTACAGTTCAATGACATCGCTTCTAAAACTAATAACTCAAACGAAACTTGCAAATAAAAAAAAAAACTTGCCTACTTATAGTTCTCTACTTTACTTTTTGAGCAACTTAAATGTATTACTGTCCTGAAATAATGTTTGATTTGAAATGAACTTTGGATGCCAGATATACTAAGTGTTTAACTTTACAAATGACTGAATTTTGAGAGGGAATGTGCCATACTTTTTAAAAATTCTAAGTAAGATTCTTCAGTTTTAGATCACATGTATGTCAGTGTATATAGAGGAACCTTTTATATCGGACAACACGGAACTTGAATAATTGTAGTATCCAATTTTCATTTTATTAGGCAAAAATCATCAAATGACAGAACTTGACTTACAGTAATTTTTGGTAAGCGGTTTTCATTAAAAACACTTTATTTAAAAGTTTGTTGTAAACGTGATGTAATTGTACAAAACTCCCTGGAGGTATCAGTATACTAAAGGAAGAATTACAAAGATATACCTTTAATTTGCTGTTTTATTGTTTCATTAAAAAAGACTCTTTAAAACAACTATATACTAGTATTAGGGCATTTCTTAAAGGAATTTGTGGTTATGTCTATATTTAGATCATGACACAATGCCGTACTTAGAGAAGAGTGTACTGTAATGTTATCTGTATATAGATGGCTATCTGTCTGGGGTGTTAGTGTATGTTAATATGATGTATTGTATGATATATATGTGCCGTGTGACAGTTGATGCTCAGATAGCATATAGCCCCAGGGTTAGATCAACCTTCCAGGTCAACATTGACGTTCTTGTCCGTTTAATTGGCAGAAACAGTGTTGAAAAATTAGGTCAGTGCAATGTGACTTTAAACATGATAAAGTTAAAGTACTTTTTCTTTTAGCTTTGATGTTTTTCTTTGAAATTATAAATATATATAAACTTTGCAAATTAATTCAATATACAGTCTATTTAAATTTACAAATTCCCTTTAACTGTATAAAAAGGTAATCATTTGTGAACAACTGCAGCAATTACAACAAAACGCGTTTTTATACAAATATATCTCTGAAAGTTGCTATTGTCATTTTAAACATCAATCAATCAATATAACTTATATATTATACAAAATAAACACAATACAACGTTGTAATAATCTGGTGGTGGACATGAAACTACTGCATCTTACTTCTGACCTTGTTTTTGTTATTGAACATTGTAAGTCTATTTTGGGTTCGTGTATGCAAATTTTTACATCTGATAATCATAATTTTATTGCCGCTTAATAATGGCCTGTGTAAATACAGATTGGCCAATATCATGTATTCATTTACATATGGCGATACTATATCCCGACGTATCATGTATAGTTATCAAACGAAGATTTATTACTACATAAAACATCTTATTATATCATACATACACACGTTTTAATTATATTAAACTGTGCTATATCACATTTCATCTTTGATTTATTTACATAGACATGATCTGAATGAAATGAATCAAATTTTAAATCAGCTGATTTTTAACCTTTAAAGTAAATATATGTATATAACTACATATATATTATACATTAAAGTGTTTATATTACGATCTGAAAGATAATCAGCATCAGATTATCAATAATAGTCCTATAATTCTCTAATCATACATTCCCGTAATCACATATTTTTGTTTACTTTAAGGTAAAATTATCCTGGCGAATTAACTAACAAACACCGACAAGTTTTCATTTTTTTGGTCCCGTCGAGATTTACCGTGCGATAACGTAGCGTGAATGACAAGTGCGCCTGATCTGGAACACTGGGGGCATAGTTTCAGTTTTACTTGTTAAGTGAACATTTCGCGCACGGAGGAGCTATAATTTATGAATGTGATGAAATAAATTTGGATGTAAATTATATACATGAAGGATTAAGAAATGAATTTATGAGTTGGCAGTTTTTGAATTGGAAAGGAACTACTTCATCTGAATCATTCACAGGTATGCGTACATTATGTTTGTATATTATAATTTGCATTTGTTGTAAGCCCATTCTTTCAAAGGGGCACACGACACACATATGTCTCTTCACATATAATATAATATAATAAGCAGTTTGAGCAAAAAGGATGAACAATTAGTATATCTATAGATAAGGCATCAAAAGCGACTTGAGTCTAAGGATGATATAAAATGTTAGATTTTTGTGCGATGAACATACCTTGGGGCGTCGGACCCTTATGCTTGCCCCCCACCCCCACCCCATTGGCTGCTATATTTTGCTTTTACTTGGATATAAATGAGAGAAAATATGTGCTACAGTATAAAGTGTACGCGCTGTTGTCTGACAATGAAAAAGTATGCGTTGTATATACAAAATAAGCAATTAAGTTGAAAATTTTATGATTAAGCTGATGTTAGACAACATAAAAAATGAGCACGCTCCCACACGCACATATAATTACATACACCTGCATTTATAAGCCAAACTTCTTCCGTTATAAAGCTATCATCATGAAAATAAACGTCTGATATTAAGCAACAGCGGTGTATTAATTATTTGTACTGTATAATTATGTAAATATGAGCCGCGCCATGACAAAACCCACATAGTGCGTTTGCGACCAGCATGGATCCAGACCAGCCTTCACAGTCTGATCAGGATCCATGTTGTTCTCTGACAAACCCTATAACAAGTATAGAAATTGATAGCGAACAGCATGGATCCTGACCAGACTGCGCGGATGCGCATGCTGGTCTGGATCCATGCTGGTCGCAAACGCATTACGTTGGTTTTGTCATGGCGCGGCTCATTTGATGTAATTAAGACGTTATTTGCACAGCCATGTTTCAAGACATAAAACATATACATGTAATGCGTAATAGTATTATATGAAACGAGTTAGTTATTCCTTTTTATTTTGTAACAGAAATCAGCAAAGCATTAATATGTTCAGTGTTTCCTCACCTTTTCCCTTTCATTTCAAATGTAAACCCTAGAAAAAATAAACCAATACCATGTAATAAATCTTTGTTTTTTGTTTTTGTTTTTTTTTTGCTCTTGGGAATGTGTGATACCCCCAATAACAAAATTATACTGATACATACCAGGTGCTAAAGAAAACCCCGAAAAACTCAACTGTATGAATCAATGAAAATGCTGTACTGTTATTTATATTTGCTTTGCCTGAACGCCTTTGAAGTTTTATTTCTGTCATCAGTGTAAAGAAAAGTCTGACAAAAAGTGGATTGAAAATGTCTGGCACAAATGTGCCAGACGACTTGACTAGAAACTATAAGACTAAGAAAATTTTGTCCATAATAATTCAAAGGATGACAAGGAAAGTTGGACACGAAACATGTCCATAGTAATGAAATATAAAATTAGGTTACGTAAGAACAAAGAAAAAAGTTAACCAACCATGGCGATTAGATATGAAATTTTTTTTCACACACCCAAAGTGGGCCTTTTCGAACAATTTAAAAAAAATCGCACGTACTCGCGTATTCCAAACATGATTAAAAAAAAAGAAACCAAAAGAAGTTAGGTGGTAAGTGGCGACAACTCCTAGAGAAAGAATGAAATGGATTTTGGGGAACCCTATTTTATTGATTTTATTATTTTACATTACACCATCATTTTTAAATCATGTGTCTTCTCTGCTTTAAATTTGTTTATCTATCAATTCAATCGTAAATCCCAAATACTTGACAATGAAATCATACTTGCAAAACACTGCATTCAACTCAACTAATTAAAACATTCAAGATGTTCCATAACTTAAACAGTTAATTAAAACATTCAAGATGTTCCATAACTTAAACAGTTAATCATTACATTTGAATATTTCTGTATACATATTATATAACGTTCGAGATGTAAATGTGGTTTGTCGCTGTAAACACTGATACCACTTGTTTAACTCGATTAACATGTACTCATATACACATCCTTATATGACAAATTTTAATTAAGGCTTGATAACTTTTATTGCTATTTCAATTTACAGTTTTAACAACGAATCCGTTGTTTGAAATTTTATTTTCATCTTAACATAATTATAACCTCTATTCTGTCATAAAGTGGGAAAACGTCAATTTCGTTGTTTTTTTATGTTACGAATCAAAGGCCCCCTGTTTACTAATATTTGCCGGGAGTCTTGTAACCCCACTTAAAACCCACATTTAAATAAGGACCATCAAAAAAAAATGAAAATAACGACCCCAAATGTAATTCCTATTTTTTTTTCAGTTTTTTTCCTCACTTCCATTTTTCCAGCAAATTTTTTGGGCAATATGACCCAAAAATGAGCGATACAAAATCAAGCCAAGAATCGCACAAAAAAAAAATCGATAGTCAATTTAATTTAAGAGGATATTTCTTTATTATCGTTTGCATATTTTTCCATTTTCCTTTGCAGACATTTTCATTTAAAGTGCTTTACTGGTTATATGCAAGAAATTCAATTTAATGATTTTGGGCTTTTTGACCTTTCTGACCTCAGTGGAGCGCCTTTAAAGTGTGTTTGAGACAAACATTAAATGATATTTTATACAAAAATGTGATGCACCCTGTTAAAACTTTACAACTGTATTTGGGGGGGTTTTTTTTTTAAAATTTTTTTATTTTTTTCCCCTTTTTTCCCCTCTTTTTAATTCTTTAATTATTTTTTTTCTTTCTGTCAAAATTTTTTCCCCTATTTGTTCACCACGAGAAACTTTAAAGGGGGCTTTGAATAAAAATATCTTAATAAAATTTAAAGAGACATTGTCATATTTCAAACATGTACGTGTATAAATAACACGGGCATACGCTTATGTTGAAAAATAAATATCGACTTAATTGGTTTACACAAGAACAACACAGATAGAGTTGAAGATAATATCTTTACCACACATCTTTTACACTGTATTCTTTATAACTTGTATTCTTGACAGTTTGGTCAACCTGATCAACCCCCAAAGGACATATTATAGTACGCTTTAAGGCATGACGTGTCAATGATAAGTGCAGTTTTGAAACAACAATGTTAAAATGCCTACAGATACAAGTTAGAAAATGTCGTATAATTATATACAAATACCTGCAAGGGAAAAATTGCTGTACAGATTATAACAGATTTATTTCCTTATCTATATTTATAGCTGCCTAGTAGAGGTGAAGTACACAAAAACGCTAACTGCATTGTTTAAGAAACATTTAAATGTGGTAAAGCAAATATGGTGGTTTGTTTCATTTTTTTTCTAACGAAATAAGATAAAGGGAAAAATGACATTACTTTACCTCAAAACATATATAACCTTAACTGTAATAACTTAATAAGACGTTACCGGAGAAAACGTCTAACATTAACAGTCCTGTACATAGTACATGTTTGTTCTGGGATGGCGTGGTCTTATAACTGGATTTGTTTCTTCCATAAAACTGATAATATACCAACTATATATAAGGCTCGAAAATTTGCTTTCAAAACGCAGATGAACACGCGGACTTTAAATAACGCCATGACTATTTATCCCTATTTCATATATATATTTTAAACACTATACTTTCTTCCTTTTTTGTACCGATATTGCAACAGTTTGCATGCCTGAACGTTGAAAACTTAAGTGCTTGTTTCTGAAAGATCAGCTGAGTAAATTTAACAAGAAAGGACGTAAGACCTTCCCAGTTACATGACCTAGATAATTAACTAATTCGACATATGTTTTATATGAAGGTTATATTTGTAAGTGAAAATAATATTTAGAAAGCTTTCAGTCAACATAATTGCACAAGCTGCAAGCATATGTTATATCTTTAAAAAATGTAAACGTTCTCTGTGTGTACGTGTCAGATAAGAATGGAAACGACCTTTGCAAGTAAGATAAACATAATGTATGTTCTAACAAATGTTCTTACTTATATAAATGTTTAAAAAAAAAATAAAAACAAAACCCTGGCAAACATTAATCAGAAATACAAACGTTCACTTCTTTTAAATCTTTAAATTGTATCTATTAAATAAGATATATTTATTAAACTCAGATATCATTTATAATCTTGCAAACCTTGTGAGGTACACAATGTACACATCTACTGAGATATAAAACATTTATATACAGATAGCGGTAAAATCTCCCTGAATTTAAGAATATTTATAACCAGTTTAATAAAAATAAACATTAATTTTTTTTTAAAGAAAATCGTACACATTGTTCTGTACACATTGCACATATTTTAGTATTCAATCATCGGAAACAAACTGAAAATTAATTTATCTGAAGATACTACATTAAATTTAGAAATTAGAAATGATCAAAAGTGCCATTTTAGGAATAAAAAATCACAAATCTTGTAATCTGGATTAATTGTTATATTATGTAAACAATATCTTTTTCTACCAAACACTATTATGCACAAAAGTCTAAAAACATAAAATTCGAAATTCTTGCATAAATCAAGTGAAGCACTTCAATTGGAAACATCTGCAAAGGGTAATAAAGAAATTTAATTAAATAACGACTTTTATGCGTTTCTTAACCCGTTTTGTGTTAAAAGGGTTGCAACGCTTTTCATTTTGCATCAATCTGGACAATACAATACAGATATATCATTTCCATCTATTTAAAACAAGTTTTAGCAGTGCAGCCTACAAACGAGTTGGGCATATATTTTTTAAATGCATCCGTATGGCGTAAATCCTTAAAGAACCTTCGATTTTTCTCCTCCTTAATTACGTGGGCTTTGACTTGTAAAGGAAAAAGCAATACGTTTATATATGTAGTATATAAATCACACCACAATTGTCCTTGTTGGTTACGTAGTTCACATAGACATATAAGGTCGTGTCAATATGTAATACAATATAAAGTTTATTTTCTAATTGCGCTCGTGACTGTTGTGTTTGTGTAAACTATGCTATGCCACAGACCATGGTACCAAAATCATAAGAATTTTTTTCATTAAAAACACCTTACAACAGTAAATGGCTGGTAAACGCTGTAAAAGTGCTGAAATATTGACTTACATAAAGCTCGAGCAAAACTTGGAAAATCTGTTATAAATGTTGTATAGTAATGATATTTGTAATATTTATGGCAACAATAAAGTATCTTCTGCAACTGTTTCGAGGTGAATGCATGAATTCAAAAAGGGCATGTGTCAATTAAAGAAGACTGCAAGTCTGGTAGAAAACGCTAATTAGTTACTGTTAAATTAAGCTTATCATTGACAAAGATGCATTACTTTCACTTGCCAAGACAGCCCTTATGGCAGGGATAAAATCATGCCCAGGAGGTCAAATTGGAATAATGAGATCACTTAATTGAATTCGAATAACGCGTTTAAATAATTTTATTTGAAGCTTAACTGTCCACAACTAAGATATTTGGTATGCAACATTGTCTATCGAACATCAGTTATAGCTTTGGTCATTTAGTTTACACAGATTTGTAACTATGGTATTTTAGTTTACATAGACTTGTAACTTTGGTCATTTAGTTAACATATATTTAAAGTTTCGGCCATTTGTTTTACATGGATTTATTACTTTGGTCATTTAGTTTACAAAGTTTTATAGCTTTGGTCTTTTAGTTAACACAGTCTTTTAACTTTGGTCAATTAGTTTACATATATTTAAAGTTTCGGCCATTTGTTTTACATGGATTTATCACTTTGTTCATTTAGTATACAAAGTTTTATAGCTTTGGTCATTTAGTTTACAAAGATTTGTAACTTTGTTCATTTAGTTAACATATATTTAAAGTTTCGGCAATTTGTTTTACATGGATTTATAACTATGGTCATTTAGTATACACAGATTTGTAACTATGGCCATTTAGTTTATTTTAGTTTATAACTTTGGCCATTTTACTTAGATCATTTAGTTTGCATGGAAGCAAAACTCTCTCCAGGAACTGCCTGATATCAAAACTGATCATTTAGTTTAACATAAGAAATCACATTTACATTATCTTGTACAACTTCTTTGTCTGCATCTTATATACCGTATGTAGCGTGATTTTATTGCCTACTTGAACTCAACGAATGTCATATAAATTAAGTCCCTTCGTCTGAAACTTTATAGCATAGAGCTTATAAATAGACATTTAGCATGTAACACCGAGAAGTTACGTCCTCCCTACAAGTTGAATAAAATATTTTGTAGGCCTAAAGTGGCCTACAGCCTGATTTTCGTACACTTTTTGTTTGATACACTTAAGCTCCAATATGTCTAGAGAACTTTCGCATTTGTCAAGCTATGACCTTCAAAGTTACATTACTTATAAAGCTTTATGTTTCTTTCACAATGGCTAACCATGAACTTCAGCGTATGACCTTCTTTTAAATTTCTTAGCTATGACTTCAGAAAGTCTATTGAGTTATAATACTAAACTTCGACATTTGATGACGTCAATGATGACCGAGGGTCCTTCTTTTAAAATTTTCATTTATCTTCAAATCCTTGAAAGTTTCAATGTGATATCAAAATTTGACCGTGGATAACTTTAGTGTGACTCAATGGCCTATTTCTACATTAATGACGATATGACGTTTTCTAGCATTGTATATCAGGTGAGGTGTCTAGAACCATCAATGCCCTATTGGTTTTAACTTGCAATGACTGTGTTTATGATCAATATAAACAAGGCACAGCCGGTGATTCACTGACATATTGACAAATCCTTGTATAATCACAAAACGTCAAATTATATCTTCCTAGTGAAATTCGCCATTCCGAATGAGAAGAGGTTTACTAATGAAAGAATCGTTGCTTTCTTCTTCTTTTTTTGATTTGTTGCATATATTAGATATATGTTTATATTTCAGATCACAAGATGTCCGAGTCGGCAATAAATCACAAAATGGCCGATTCCGGATCACCAGGAAAATATCGCCGTGTGATCGGGATTTGCAGAATCACAGTGATTATTCTCAGCGTAATAGTTCTAGCATTAATTATAGCATTTGCACTTGTGGTCACTAACCTACAAGACAAATTAGACTCTAAAACAGAGAGTTGTCCTACAAGCAGTAATACAATCCAGCTTCATCCACCAGATGTCTTACCACCGTTCCATGATCTTACGCGAGATGAAATATTATCCGTAAAAGAGTTCTTGTACGGGCAACAGGACTTGAATTTAGTAAGACCGTCTGAAATAGCTTGTGATAAGAGCTACATTTATACAATGGAACTTTACATTCCTAACAAAGAACAAACTTTGAATTATCTTGATAAAGGTAGATCACCACCAGTTAGAGAGGCTTCTGTTGTCATATTTAGGGGAGACAAACCTGAACCATACGTTCAAGAATTTATCATTACTCCTCTACCTAACCCGATAAGCAAAAAAGCATTGACACCACGCCCATTTCGCTACCGTCCCTTAACTGCCCCTGAAATTGTTGGGGCAGTATCTAAGCTGCACAGTGAAATAACTGCTAAAGCTGGTAAGGTCTTGGAAGAAAGTTATGGTGGAAAATTAGGAGATTGTGCTGAAAATTGTCTAGAGTTTCAAATGATCACACCTATGTCCCCGGCATCTTCCGGAGAACCGATGGCAAGGAAAATGTGGTTTTGGCTTACACCAGTTGTTGAGTTTTGGAGTTTGCATCCATTAGATTTCTTAGTTTCTTATGGACCTGACAAGTAATGAGGTGGAAGAATATACTATTGATAAGATTTATTATGGAAATCAGATGTTTAAGTCACTGGATGATCTTACTAGGTCGTACGAAACGGGTTCAGTAACGAAAACGAAAATTCCTTTCCCGACAAATGATAAGAATCTGTATTCCTCCATGCATAGAAGAGGAACTTTATTTCCAGAAGAGCCATTATCACCCCCTAGAGAATTTGAACCCAGCGGGAAAAGATATTCTATAGAAGGTAGACATATCAAATATATGGGATGGGATTTCGACGTTAGAATGTCAACAATCTCTGGTCCTCAAATATTTGATATTAGATATAATAATGAGAGAATAGTCTACGAATTAAGCTTGCAGGACATTGCAGTATTTTACTCGGCTGATAGCCCGGCACAAAAATTTGCAGACTACATTGACAGCGTGGCCTTAATAGGGTCAAGAGCCCGATCACTTGTTGCCGGAGCTGATTGTCCCACCCACTCTACTTATCTTAGTGCTGACCATGTTATAGAATCTTCAGAAGATCCATTCCATGTTGAAAGAGCATTTTGTGTGTTTGAGCATAACACTGGACTTCCGCTGCGCAGACATTTATCTAGTTCCGGTTCAATGTTTTATGAAGGAATGATGGATATTGTTCTGACAGTTCGAACAATCGCAACTGTGGTTAACTATGATTATATTTTTGACTTCATATTTCATCAAAATGGGGCGGTTGAAGTTAAAGTTGTGTCTACAGGATATATTCTTACATCGCTAAGATTTGCTGCAGAAGATAACTACGGGTTCAGGCTGCGGGATCACGTGACCGGAAACATCCATCATCATATGTTCCATTTCAAAACGGACTTGGATGTTCATGGGAAGAAAAACAGATTTGAGTCTATAGAAATACAGCCTATGGAAGTCGATAATTCACAATGGTCTGTGAAACAAAATACTAGATACTCTCAAACAAAAATGGTTCGAAAACAAATAAAATCAGAAAAAGAAGCCACTGTGAAATACAACTTTGAAAAGCCCAAGTATTTAACATTTTACAATAATGATTTTATGTCATCTTCTGGAGTACCTAGAGCCTATCGACTGTTTACAAGAGGTGTTTCTAAACAGGTAAATTTAATCAAGATGTATTTACTGCAGGGGAGGATCCATGATTTTTAACACGTTCTTGACAAGGGATAATAAATAGGGAGTTTAGCCTTTCACTAGTGTTTCTAGGGGTGGGTCACGATGGAGTGAAAAACCAACAAAACAAAACAAAAACACAACATCAAAAACGAACAAATAGAAAACAAACAAACAACGTAAGTTTACATCATGATCATTATTTAATATTATATATCATGCATCACAGCCAAATCCTCTTATCCGTTAAACGTTACGAAGTAAGTGTGACATGTATCGTCCAAACATTTAACCTGTCCATGCTTTATGCAATGGTTGAACGTACTATTGTAAGCCTATGATATCCTTGCTATTTCACATATTTTATTGTATGTGAGAAGTTAGCAGTTAACAGTGAGCTCAGCAAAAAGACATAACGATTTATATAGGGAAATCAATGATCTGCTGTTATGCTCAGCTGGGTAGGCAATTTAGCAGAGCATTCCAAAAAAAAGTGTAGAAATGCTCTGCTGGTATGCTCAGCTGGCTAAGCAATCTAGCAGGCCATTCCTAAATATAGTGTAAAAATGCTCTGCAGGTATGCTCAGCTGGCTAGGCAATCTAGCGGGGCGTTCCAAAATATAGCGTTAAATGCTCTGCTGGTCTGCTCAGCTGGCTAAGCAATCTAGCGGGGCGTTCCAAAATATAGTGTGAAAATGCTCTGCTTTTATGCTCAGTTGGCTAAGCAAACTAGCGGAGCATTCCAAAATATAGTGTAAAAAATTAAAAACTTCTTTTACTACCCTAAAAATCTACCGGGACGTTCCAAAGAAAATTTTAAAAATCTTCTTTTTATGTTTTTTTGCTAAGCAACGGGGGGGGGAATTCCAAAAATATGGAAAAAATGTCTGCTTATGTCATCTACAAATCAGCAGGGTACTTTAAAAATAGGGTAAACCCTGCTTTATGCTCAGCTGGCAAGCCCTAGCGGGGACATTTCAAAAATATTTGTAAAAATGCTCTGCCTGAATTGCCTCAGCTGGCTAGGCCAAACCCAGCAGAGCATTCCAAAATAAAGTTTACAAAATGCCTCTGCTGGTATGCTCAGCTGGCTAAGCAATTAAAAATGCCTTCCGCTAGATTGCCTAGCCAAGCTGAGCATTAATATTCCTGCAGAACATTTTAACACTATATTTAGTAATGCCACTGCTAGATTGCCTAGCCAGCTTTTATGCATTCCAGCAGCAGTCATTTTTACACTATATTTAGTAAATGCACTGCAGACTCCTAGCAAGCCTTAGCTAGCCAGCCGAGCATTCATTTACAGCTAACATTATCGTCACTACACTACTATCACTTGTCACTGTTACAGTGTCTACAGCTAACATTACCGTCACTTTACCAACTACCTATCCCTGTTACTGGCTACAGTATCTTAAAAACTAACATTACCGTCACTACCACTACTATCACTGTCACTGTTACAGTGTCTACAGCTAATATTACCGTCTCTACCACTACTGTCACTGTCAGAATATCTACAGCTAACATTACCGTCACTACCACTACTATCACTGTGTACAGTATCTACAGCTAACATTACCGTCACTAGCACTACTATCACTGTCACTGTTACATTATCTACAGCTAACATTACCATCACTAGCACTACTATCACTGTCACTGTTACAATATCTATAGCTAACATTACCGTCACTACCACTACTATCACTGTCACTGTTACATTATCTACAGCTAACATTACCGTCACTACCACTACTATCACTGTCACTGTTACAGTATATACAGCTAACATTACCGTCACTACCACTTCTATCACTGTCACTGTTACAGTATCTACAGCTAACATTTATCCGTCACTACCACTACTATCACTGTCACTGTTACAGTATTTACAGCTAACATTACCGTCACTAACAATACTATCACTGTCACTGTTACATTATCTACAACTAACATTACCGTCACTTCCACTACTATCACTGTCACTGTTACATTATCTACAACTAACATTACCGTCACTTCCACTACTATCACTGCCACTGTTACTGTATCTACTGCTTACATTAACGTCACTTCCTTCCTTTCATTGTCACTGTTACAGTATCTTCAACTAACATTTCCGTCTCTACCACTACTGTCACTCTAACAGTATCTACAGCTAACATTACTGCCACTACCACTACTATCACTGTCACTGTCAAAGTATCTACAGCTAACATTACCGTCACTACCACTACTATCACTGTCACTGTTACAGTGTCTACAGCTAACATTACCGTCACTACCACTTCTATCACTGTCACTGTTACAGTATCTACAGCTAACATTTCCGTCACTAACACTACTATCACTGTCACTGTTACATTATCTACAGCTAACATTACCGTCACTACCACTACTATCACTGTCACTGTTACAGTATCTATAGCTAACATTACCGTCACTACCACTTCTATCACTGTCACTGTTACATTATCTACAGCTAACATTACTGCCACTACCAGAACTATCACTGTTATAGTGTCTACAGCTAACATTACCGTCACTACCACTACTATCACTGTCACTGTTACAGTATCTACAGCTAACATTACCGTCACTACCACTACTATCACTCTCACTGTTACAGTATCTACAGCTAACATTACCGTCACTTACCACTACTATCACTGTCACTGTTTCAGTATCTACAGCTAACATTACCGTCACTACCACTACTATCACTGTCACTGTAACAGTGTCTACAGCTAACATTTACCGTCACTAACACTACTATCACTGTCACTGTTACAGTGTCTACGGCTAACATTACTGTCACTACCACTACTATCACTGTCACTGTTACATTATCTACAGCTAACATTACCGTCACTACCACTACTATCACTGTCACTGTTACAGTATCTACAGCTAACATTACCATCACTACCACTACTATCACTGTCACTGTTACAGTATCTACAGCTAACATTACCATCACTACCACTGCTATCACTGTCACTGTTACAGTGTCAACAGCTAACATTACCGTCACTACCACTTCTATCACTGTTACTGTTACAGTGTCTACAGCTAACATTACTGTCACTACCACTACTATCACTGTCACTGTTACAGTATTTACAGCTAACATTACTGTCACTACCACTACTATCACTGTCACTGTTACAGTATCTACAGCTAACATTACCGTCACTACCACTACTATCACTGTCACTGTCTCAGTATCTACAGCTAACATTACCGTCACTACCACTACTATCACTGTCACTGTTTCAGTATCTACAGCTAACATTACCGTCACTACCACTACTATCACTGTCACTGTTACAGTATCTACAGCTAACATTACCGTCACTACCACTACTATCACTGTCACTGTTACAGTGTCTACAGCTAATATTACTAGTTAAATTCTTTCATTTAAAAAAATGTTTTTAAATAATTTGAAATCGTTACAATATTTTCTAGTAATAAATGGGGAGCAACTATAATTCTTTAGACTCGAGATCCTCCTTTTTGAAGAGTATTCATTTAGTAAGGATGAGACATGGGTTCAAACCCCACTCTTGGGAAGGGGTGGGGACTTTTTTTAAACAAAATGAAAATAGGTAGCTTTACGTTTTGAAATGATTTTATTTCCAGGTCCTGATGGTAAACTTCGTGTTCAGATTGTATATAGATAGTTATAATTAAAGATATAGCAATGTCCTATTGACAGACGACAAATAGAAACAGCTACCTTTCTATTTCGCCAAAACTTAGGGATACCTGTTTTAATTAAGTTAAAATATTTTTCCGATTATGCTTTTCTTTTTTCTCTTTAATTTTTGTTTCTTCAAAACTATGGGTTCTAGTGAAACTATTCTTTAGTTGATAAAATTATATTTGTTGGTGTATTTCTGTGTAACTGATGCAAACGAAGATGCTAAATTGCATTTTTGTCAAGAATATGATAAAGTTTTAATATGTGAAGTGCCAGTACTTTTGAAACTTTTTATAAAACTTTTCTGATAACAGCGAAAAACGGCCAAAACAGAACAGGAGTTTTAACTGATACAACGGGTAAATTCGCATCATACAGAGTAATCAATGAACTTATGCCAAATGTATAAATTTTTTAGATGGTTAAAGAAGGCACGGGCCAGGAACCATCTGTGTCCTGGGCGCGGTACCAAGTCGCAGTGACAAAGTACAAAGAGGAGGAAAGGCGCAGCAGTTCAATGTACGCCATATGGGACGCCGAGCGACCTATTGTCAACTTTCAAAGTTTTATAGACGATGATGAAATAATAACTGATGAGGTAAATATACAAATGATGAAATATTTATAGTAATACTGCTGATTTCCATTGAATAACTAGAAATCTAGTACCATAAAATGAAACCTAAAGCAGGGCTGAAATTTTGATTAGCATGCATTTAAGACCACCATCAAATGAAAACCATTGTAATAAACTTCACTACAATCCAACTAATAATTCAGTTACTTTGATCAGTGCAAAATCTCTCTATGTTTGAACGAAAACCTTTAATTTTAAATGCTGACATGGCATATCAAAATATCAGAAATTTGACAAATTATTTCAAATAGAAAACCCGTTAAAGCCATTGTTACAAGGGAGAATACTCTCACTTCACCTTATATTTATTCAGGTTGAACACAATACTACTTTCGTACTTGTAAGTCAGTTTTCTTGCATGCCATACAAATTCAAAAGGTTTAGGAAGCAATACGAGCTTGGATGGTTGTTTTATTGAGATGTTTTGTTTTAACATAAATGTTATATCTAAGAGTCCATGTTCAGTTCAGTTCTTAAACCGTGCAAAAAAATCTCATTATTTTCAGGACCAAGTAGCGTGGGTAACAATGGGTATACATCATATACCGCATATGGAGGATTTCCCGGTGACTCCTACCGTCGGACTTGATCTTGGATTCTTTCTTCTGCCATATAATTATTTTGATGAGGACCCTGCCATGGGCTCGGGAGATGCCATCCGCATTGAACCAAGTAGTAAGAAATCATTAAACCATGGGCTGAATATACATAATTATGGAAAGTCAGAAAAAAGACAATGTCTGCCAAAACAATCAACTTTTATTGAAAATATTCAGGAGAGACCAAACAGTTTATTCGATAAACCAACTGATAGTGTAACTATCTAAACATGATAAACCAAATAATAAATGTTACCAAAGCAAGATTGTAATGGTGTTTTTCGGTAAATAGACAGTGTGAAGATTTGTCGTCGCGCAGCTTTCAGTTCTGAAGGAATCCATGTATTTGCGTATATTGATCCGCCATAAACCACTATAAAGGGGAGCTAATCATGTGTTATATTCACTGACATATTCATCATGGATTACTTACCTTGACCCAATACAGAGGAAAGAGTATTAATCATTAATTATCATTTCATCACAATTTTTTTTGTAATTATCCACATGTAGTCTTTGTTTGTTTGAAATTTATTTGACTTAAAGTAACGAAATAAATTTCTAGTACATAGATGATTGAATTTTATTAAAAATACATGGACATTATATCTTATAATTTTATGTGTACATATACATGAAGCTTGTATGTTTTCAAAAAACAATTAAAATCCAACAGCTAGAATTAGTTTATAAATATGCATTTCTGCAAGATCATTTCCTTAATGCGAGTGTGTGTTTGGTGTAATACATATCTGTATTGTACCTATTTCAGTCATGTTGAACGTTTGGAAAATAAGATAGGCTAATATGTTTCATTCACAAATTTGAATTCATCAACAGTAATCAAATATGACATTTGCTATCTAGTAGTAAATATATGCTTATTAAGTCTAACGTTTTCCGAATGAATTTATTTAACCTATTTTCTGTCATACATGTATATATTATACAAATACAATGTAGCAAAAATAAATCTGATAGATCTATGTTACCTTAGCTTACACACGTGTTAACATGAAATATATCTGATAGATCTATGTTACCTTAGCTTACACACGTGTTAACACGAAATAAGGACCTTGTGGAAAGGTTCGTGAAGTAATAGACCAGATGAAATGTAAATTTTCAAGCTATATATGTATTGACAGCCATGGCTTTGTTAAAATAAAATAACATATATAAATGATTATTTAAGTAAGTGTCATCTACTAGTGTGAACTATTATAAGGTAATGACTATCAGTGGTCCAGTTTCGACACAGGACCAGTTCCGCATGTTTCAATGTCATTTTTCTAGAAAACCGGCAATTATAAGAAAATGAGCTGCCAACAGACACGTTTGACACACATTGCATTATATTATCAAAGAAAATTCAAATATCAGAAATATTTAATTGAAAACGGCATTGAAGAAACCGGAGCTGATCCTGTACCGGAACTGGTTACTTGACTGTATCTATTTGTTTAAGCATATTTATTTAAGCCCGATTGCAAAACAAGTTCTTTCAACATATATTAAACACTTTCGAGTCCGCTCATGGAACCAACCAGTACTGGTGTCAACTGAAGAAACATGGTCGTGACCCGATTAGGGCTCGAACCCATGATCCCTGGGTTGAGAGGCAGACACCTTAACCACTAGGCTACCGCTCCCCTTACACTGTATATATTGTTAAGTGCGAAACTGAATTCTTGTGGAAGAATATATAGCTGTTAAGCACTTTTTGCTAACCGAGTCTTTTGAGGATCTTGCAACTGTGTACCAGTCAAATAGAATTAGTATTGTACACAGCAATGTACAGTATACTGACCTCTTTATTTCTCACAACCATTGTTTGACATTTTGGCAGAACTTGCAGTTACTTCATGTACATTAAGGATTTGATAAGGAATTTTGAATTCTAAAAATGAAAACGAGGCAAAATATTGCAGGATAAAGGTAGCCTAAAACGCTGTTTTCGCGAAAACTTACCGAATGTACAACGTCCTGAAGGTAATTTATTGTGACCGGACTGTGTCCGTCGTCAACTTTTGTTTCACCAACATGTCCTTCTACACTACTGGGTTATTGTTGTTAAAACTAAGCAGGATTGTTCCTGGTATAAAGATTTTTTAAAATTGTTTGAAGAATTCCATTCAAAGCAGAACTCTGGTTAGCGCGGCAACTAAAAGAACTAGAACTGTCGCAGTCTGGCAAGGATATCCCCGTCACTTTCATTCATTTTGACTTTGTCAAACTAATAAGTCCTGTAAGGTATATCATTATACTTCATTCTTTGTATATTCGTTTATATTTAGAAACTATTAACTTTCTTTAGCAATAACTGACATCAACAAGAGCCATTGACTTTCGATAGCAACCATTAACCCCCATTGCAAACACTGACATTCTTTAACAAACATTATCTTCCACTGCAACCATTGATTTTCTAAAGCATCGAGTGGCTACCATAACAGTAATTGATATTCCTAAGCAACCATTTACTTCAATAGGAACCATTGATTTCTATAGCAACAAGTGACTTCCCTAGCAACCAAAGTTCTATACCAGTCATTGACTTCAATAGAAACCAATAATTTTATGCCAATAACTGTTTTTTCATAGCAATTATTAACTTCCACAATAACTTTCAACTTTCCCTTGCAACCATTGACTTTCTATGGTAACCAGTGGCTATTTTAGCAATCAGTTATTCCCATTGCAATGGCTTCCATAGCAACTTCTGATTTCCATAGCAACAAGTGACTTCCAAAGAATCCATTAACTTTCTATAGCAACCATTGGCATTTCATATCAACCTTTGATTTTTATAGTAACCAGTGACTTTTATGGCAAGAAGTGAATTTTTACATTGCAACCAGTGACTACCATTGCAACCATTGACTTTTCATAGCAACACTTGAATCTGACATTGACTTTCGTTTCAACCACTGGCTTTTTTACATGTGCATTCTTTCAGATGTAGATACGAATTTAGTAATATCCGTTTAAGATTTATACCTTTTACCTGCTTTTTATCCATAGTTTACAATATTAATGTTTAAATCCTTAACCGTCAGGTGAACGATATAAGAAAAGAGCTATCATGACCCTCTTGTTTCTTCTGTATTCAATGACATTACAACAACCGAAAACTCGTCTGCATCATCATCAATCAATAACAATTTGGAAGCCTCGATATATAGTTAACTGTTTCTTCGTTTGACTATAATGGTATGTTTTAAGTATCATATTGACGTTAAACTGGTACAGTAGGATTTTGAAGTGATTTTTAATTATAAGCTTGAATTTGACCTGGCAAAATTTGACATTTAATGTCATTTATTAGCGTCTTATTGACGTACACAGTTCAATTTCGTAATAGCACATTTGATCTCCGTCTTTGTAATAATTTATTTTTAATTTACTCTATTAAATATATTTTTACGACCTGATTCTCCAAGCTAAGGTTCAGATTCGTTATTGCCTTAAATAATAAGATAATGCAACAAAAACAAAATACGTACAAAGTGTAATGCAAAAGCAGGATAAAAACAAGTTTTTAAAGCAAATTATTTCGTAGTTATGAGCTCCTAATATAAAATTATGTTCGAAAGCTTTACTCGACACTATTCGTTTTTCATTTTCATAAGTCAAAAGTTATTTTCTTCAAACAATTACAGTTTAGGAAAGCCCGGCGTGACATCTGGCTATTTACAGGTCTAATTATAAAACAATCGATGAGGGGAACATCATACAGCGAACTTTATGTTTAGCTTTATTAATTTCATGAATATTGCAAGACAAAAAAAGTGTCCCATAGCGACAATCTGTGCGAAAATCGAGCTATCATTAGCTCACGAGGAAATGCCGAGCGCTTAATTTGTCATTTTTCCCATTTGGGAAATCATTATTTCTGGCCAAAAGAAATGATACATTGACCAGTTTTTTTCCACTGCTACATACAAGTTGGTGACTCGTGAAATATTGAAACAGAAAAAGTCGTAAGATTATTCCTCGCGAAAACAACAAAGATTATATTATACAAATTTTCTTCCTTAGATTGTACATGTACATTTATCTACGCATACATTGTATATAAACAATGTTTCTTCACGACAGTTGATACTTTAATTTTTCTAGTTACTATCAACATTCTTATTTTGACTTTAAAGTTATATACGTATACATGAAATATTAGAAATATTGCTGAAATAAAAAGCCTATTTTTTATTTTTCGTATTTTCATTGTAAAAAATTATTTTTTACTGCAGTGAAACATATTTTCCGTATTTTCACTGATACTTTCTTCTAAATTCAGGCAATACACAAAGAGTAAGGGTCTTTCGAATTACAATGTCAATCATAAGAAAAATGTAATAAATTAACGGAAAAATCAAGTTTTTTCTATAAATACAGGATTTATTTTAATCTTGTGGTATGAAAATTATCCTATTTCACTCGTGACTAGCACCACCTATGAAATATTTATTTTCATTCTACTCGGTGAAAATAAATTTCGAAAAAAAGAAACATGTCCTCTTTTTATTTTCCCCCATCTTTCGGACATTTTATTTATTCTCACTGTCTACACTGTATTGTAAACTGTACGGTAGTAAATATCATAGGAACTCTGGAACAGGACCGCATATTGCGGCGCATAAATCCGAATCCGTACCGGCTTTACATATTGTTTGTCCGACCTTTGAATTTTTTCATATCATGCGAGCGGGTGGTCTTTAATTATCTAATCTCAATTTAATATAATCTGTTAATTTAAAAATCAGTCAAATTTACGGTACATTATACGTAAAATTTGACCAGTTTTAAAAGAGAGAGATTGGGTTCAATTGATAATATATTTTTGAGACCATACACTCGAATAATACTATTAGATATTTAGATGTACGAGTAGCAGAAACGTTTTTAATCGAAAATATGCGCCGCAATCTGCGGTCCCGTTCTCGAGTTCCTATGGTAAATATGTAGACATTTCCAAGATGGCGGACTGTCAAAGTGTGAAAGGTGCGTGTTTCACTTTTCTATCTCGAAAATACAAAAACTGATTATTAACGTCAATAAATAATTTTTAATTCTTATTTCTTAAGACAATCGTCATTGGAACAATAAGTCAATGACTATAAATATATCAGTTTCAAGTACAATACTTAATTTCGCAAATCAATATCAATATATGCTAAATGAATTAAGGCTGCAACAGTATTTAATTAATAGGTAAAGTAAAACAAAAATAAATACATTCTGTTAAAATGTAAGTCAGCTTATTTGTATTTTACGCCCACATCTAAACTATTTCTCGACTTCTATGACTAGGACGTGTGCCAGTGGAAAAGTCAATTTAACATATAGTGAAGAAATACTGCATACCATAGCTTCCAGTATTTCAAGACAATTTAAGATAGATAAGATGTGGTTAAATGATAAAAGGACAATTTTGCTTTCAGAGGGAGTCCGTTCTCTCAGTTAAGGCTTCCCTTCATCTTTAGTATAATGACCGGGGTCTTTGACAGTCATTTCAGTTTGTTATTATTATTTTCATTATGCTGAAACGGTTTTGCTGTTCTATTATAGCAAATACGAATACTTTATATCTACAACATAAATAATGAACAGGCAGTTATGGCAATTATCCAAGCAGTTTCATGATGCATTGAAAACTAAAAAACAGAACAAGACGTGTGT